CCAAAGGAATGGTTGACTTTTACATATGTCAAAATTACTATAGCACTGATTTGAATCCGTTATTCTTGACATTGGGATCTTAGAACATGCCACGTGCCACTTGTCACTGTAATGAGCGATATCGTGGTAAAAGACTATGGCTTGGGATAATTTTTTGTATCATTAACATTATAAAGTCGTTCATTATGACGAATACGCAGCTATGATTGCTATGTTTGTTCAGACCAGCATTACTTGCTCGATAGGCTTAGAACCGAAAGGGCCTCACTTGGAGCTACGGCCGAGTGATTTGTTTTCTTTCGGAGGTAGGTAAATGAGTATAACAATGTGCAACGGAAGCAGCAGACTAGATTTCTTCCCACATAGCTGCAGATTCTTCCTTTAAAAAAATAGCACTCCTGGCAAATGGCAAAGAAACGAAGTTTAGCACCGTAGAAACCGACGTACCAACAAGAACAAACTTTTCTTTTTCTTTACTTTGTATTCATGACCTTAAGTCATTTGCCTAATCATAGATTAAGCAACTTTTGTCATCGTAGCGGTTCAGCATTTTGCCTTTGATAAAGTAAGATTTTCAGCATTCGTAAAAGGAACAGTTACCCTTTGAACGTCGATTCGAGATCTTGTTTATTTCTGCTGCTTTCGACCATCTGGTCAATGTCTGTCGTGTTTCACTCGCCACAGGCTTGATTAACGGATTTATACTGAAGAAATTTGTCTAACCAAACAGCCTCATACGCCTCACTTCTGCAGTTATGGAAATGCTTGATCCTGAAGAGGAATAACATCATTCTCGTCAGTGTGTACGGTGTAGTCGAACCGTCCCCTTACTTCTAACAGCCTACATATTTTGGCATGTACAGCGTACAGACGAAAAACCATCACTTTTTTGGGTCGAGCAATCGCTTGTTCAACTAGTCATATATTAAATTGTTGTACCATTTACGTCTCATTTGGGTTCGAATCGAATGTACATTTAACCATCGTTTTTGGTCATTCATTAGATTGAAGCTTTTAACGATAAGTTTTATATGGATAGTTATGACAGTTTCGTTTGGTAACTGTTATCAACGGAAATAAGTGATTTTTTAAGTGTCTGACTTTGAAATATATGATCATATTATGTTGTTACCACATTTAGATTTGTTACCACATTTACAGTGCTCATCATCAATGCCACAAATAGCTTGAAAAAGCGGTGGCTTAGATGTATACAATACACTTGTCGATTCTTAGTTCAGGGGGCTAGAAGTAAACTATTTATCGTTATAATCGTTTATGCAAATGGGTCACTGTTCACAGATGGCACACTTCCTAAGAAGTTATTTATTTCATATTTCAGTCCAAGACCTGGTTCTGTGGAAAAATCCCGTCGTTAGCGGTACCGTGTTCTTTGTGCTGTTTTTCGTGGTGCTCGCGCTGCGAATCTACTCAGCTCTGAGTGTCGTGGGATACGCCGGACTGCTGTTGCTATCGACGGCATTAGTGTGCCGGGGCTATAGTCTGATTTTTGCAAAGCTGCACGGAAACGCACCCAGCAACCCATTTGGGTAAGAATTTAATGCTTTTTGCTGAGTTTCATCTGTTGCGCATTTTCAGCCCGTACCTTGAGAAGAAGATCGAACTGACCGCTGAGGACACGCATAAACAGATCGAATCGATCCTGAACTCCATTCAAAAGCGCCTGGACGAACTCAAGGCTCTGTTTTTCATCGAAAGCGTAGTAGACAGCTTGAAATTTGGTGTCCTTCTCTGGGCATTGACGTACATTGGACAGTTTTTTTCGGATTCGGGCTTAGCCATCTTCTGTGCGTTGCTTCTCATGACAAATCATTTCTTCTTTATTTCGATTATTTTAGTATTGGTCTACGTTTTTACCGTTCCGAAAATTCTGGACCTGTACCACGGTCCGATCACGAAGTATAAAAATATCATGATGGACAAGCTGGAAAAAATACGGGAGCTGATCAACAAGAAGCTTCCGTTTCTGGCTCAAAAGGGAGTACCTACCAAAGACGAGAAGAAATTAGACTAATCACGGTCGTTCATTGTCGTCATATTCATAGCTTGAATAGATGTTTAATTTTTTTTTAATTGTAAACCGTTTCGCTTCGTGTAGATTTTGTTTTTCATTGAGTCGCTGCTTCGCAGTTTCCGTCTTTTTTTTCTTTTGGACCTTTCGTAGTTATTCGTGTTAGGCCATAGTTTAGCTGAAGAAGACTGCGTCGCTGATGAAATTGTACAATTAAACGGATTGTAGTTAATGGTATCTGCGTATTGTTGTAATCAGATGACTTTGGCGCGCGTTATTGAAGGTCCTATATAAGATGCATGTTGAATTGTCATCTGTGTGCTCAAATCTGAGCGTTTGTAGGTTTCGCGGTCTCTGCACTAAAATTACTAAAGCGATCTCACATATGCGCTCACGCTTTGTCTTTGGCTTGTTTGTTGTTGGTGCCCCTGGTAAATGAGTGGCCGATTGACAGTAAGCACCAGACCGGGCGATGTAAGTTAAAATCTATCAACTAACAAAGTTTCGCGCGTTACGTGAGGATAACCAGACGAAGCTAAGATATCAATGAAGTATAGTAATTACTTATTTGTATTCAATAAGGATGTGGTCTACTTCTTTGATCATTATTAAAAAGGTATTGTAAATATACAATATACTGTACAAAATCTAACTAGAAAAGTGAAAGCATCGGCGAGATGGCGTTTCCGGGGTATCGGTGACGTTTAGTGCGTATGATCACCCAGAGTGGTAATTCTCACCGTCCGTGTCACCATCAGACTGTTAAACCTCTGAGACGCTGACAAAAGTTGTGTACTGCGCTATAGACGATCGTTCATATTCATATCACCTAAACACCGAACTTACACTAGTCTGAAAATCGGTGAGATGCGTTGAGGACGTGGTTTATCAGCCAACTTTTCTTCGAGATAAGCAGAATTCTGTAGTTTACCAGCTGATAAAAACAAGAATATATACGATTTCAAACACCGTGTATTTTTAAATTAGACACGTTATTTTACAAAAGGTTCATTTTTCCCTGTGACGAAGCATTTTCCTCAAGTTTTTTAGAACATCGAGCAGCGAATGTTTGTCGTCGTAACTCTTTCTGTTCAGGAACCATGCATGTCGAGTGGAGTACGTTTCCCTGAAAATCAAATCAACAGATACAAATTGACAACTAACCCATACTGAACAATACACTTACTGAAAATCAGCAAACACGTCAGGCGGAGGGTCAAATAAACTGACACCGGTGTGCGGGTTGAAATAATAAAGTTTCTGCTTCGTTCCACTCCAGGAAAGAATCCACGGTTCTAAGATATAAAAAGACCAGTTAAACGAAAATTTTACTAACTGGTTCATGTTTCACGCATATTCTTACTATGAGCATTTAAGAATGAAATTCTCCTATCATATCTGAAACTTCTCTGCAGAAATTTCGAATTTGCTAGGGTGGGAAAAGCTGTCAGCCACCACGAAATAATTAGTCAAATTAAGAGATTATTTGTCAGGCGAAGCACCGCATTATAAAGCTGGGTTTCACCAAGTTACTGAGAGGAACACATCTGACACGCCTAGCAGACAATTTCTGTGAGTCACGTGTCAACGTGCACAGATTCAAAATGCATAACTGCTTCAGTAAGACCAAATTATACGCTGGGAGGCAACCATAATGACCCGCTAATATACACAGAGCTAGCTAACATTTTAATTCCACATCTGCCTGGACTTATTTAATACAATAGCACCGCGTTGTTACTAATAGAAAACGAATAGTGCTTTTAGGTACTATATAAAACAACATTGCCATATGATGCATGCTGCTACAGAGCGAGATTCAGTAATACCATGGCTTCATTGAATTATCGCTATGCTCACCCGCATACGCAAGGTCCTGCATGATTACGGCTACGCCGTGATTTCGATATAAGCTGGAAACTTAAGCGGAATGCGGCAAAAAACATACCGATCGGACTGAATTTTAAATTTCTTTCAGTCTATACAAGAATGGGTGCAAAACGCGAACCATGGGTCTGTAAGCTTTCATAAACTGCAGACACAAAGCAATGTAGAAAGGTGCATGCTGGTTACAAGATTTTTGAATCGATAAGTACAAAAACAAGTCAGCGATGAGACTATTGGTGAAAAAGTTGAAAAATGGCAATCAGCCTGACACGGTGCAAAAGGTATCGATCTATCGCTGGACCAGAGCGACATTGGACGGTTTCTAAGAGTGAGTAACCGGCCAGTAGGAGGTCTTCCAGATCGATGTAAGAATGAGCTGCAAAAGTTTTATATATCAAAATGGCAGAAAAGAAGTGTTTGGAAGGGCATTCATGTAGCAGCGAATGAAAAAAGGTTTATGATATATCAACACAGACAGAAAAATACTGATTACATTAATATTACATTTCCTCGCAAAGAGACTGAAACAGCCAGGGCTGCAAGAGCAATCATTTGTACATAACATTCTGACCTGTCTTCGGTACATACATTTTATAGGTCTGTATAAGTAACGAACGCGCTTATGCTGATAGCAACAGCCATTACACAAGGTAATAAACCTGACATCGTATATATTATTTAAATATATATTTAAGTACTTTTATCAGGCACACTTCAACGATATCTCACTAATTTATTATACTTCAGCATTTCGCATCTCTAACGCTTGGGACAACGCATCTTAAACACCGCTTGTAGTCTCTTGCTTAAAAATTAACAAGATTCAATCTGAAAAACCACAAATCTCAGCAATACCTTTTAGAATCCTG